GTTACCCGTTTCTATTCCCAAGTCTTTTTTCGGGGACGAAAACTCTTGTTGTTGGGGAGATTGTGAGACCCTACCCTTAGCTGACCACACTCCCCCTCCCAACTCCCACACTAACTCTCCCTTTCACTCTCTTTTCTCCCTCTATTCTCATTTTGGCTGATTTCACTTTGGTTTCTTGGATTCAAGGTGGTGGCGTGGAGTGATTAAGGTTGCTAGCTGAACATTTGGGGGTTCCTCTTTTTCTCTGACTATTCTCTCTTCTCCGTTCCTCAATCGTCTCTTCCCGGAAGCTCGAATTTCTTCACCGAGGTAAGGGAAGTTAGTATTTTGCTGTGTTTTGGCTGGAAAGCGAGTTTAGGGACTCTTTTGGCTATTGGGGTTTTTCTGTGTATGGCTGAGCTGCTGAAAATTTGGGGTTTTTTTGGGGGTTTTGGGGTTTTAAGTCAAAGTTGGGATTTTTTCTTGAATTGTTGTTGCATGCACAAAAAGCTTATACTTTCGAACTCCTTGGTGAAAATGTGACACTATGAACCGTTTGCATGTGGTTTTTTGTTAAGATTTTCAGGTTTTGAGCAATTTTCGAACATCGGGAGAGTTACTGATGAGTTCGCGCTAGGCGCTGTTCTTCGCGTCTGGCGCGCGACCATCAGGAGACTCTGTTTAGGCAAGCCGCCGGGCGCAAGGCTGTGTGCGCTGGGCGAGCTTGCAAAATGGGAGCCTCTGGTTGGCCCGCGCCGGGCGTGACTCGAGCTGCGCTGGGCGCGATATCAAGAGTAACATATTTTGGGATAATTGGTGCCGCGCTAGGCCGTTTGGACTCGCTGGGTGCGGAGGCTTCCTGGGAGTCTCTGCCAAGAGCACGCCGGGCGCAATACGAATTGCGCCGGGCGTGAGACCTTGGTAGGTCTCTGTTTTCCCCACGCTGGGCGCGGGCTAGGCCCCGCTGGGCTCAAGAGACTCCTTGAGTCTCTGCCAGGCAGGCCCTGGGCGCAATTTGGAATTGTGTCAGGCACTGGTGCTCTCGGGTTAAGCCGCGTTGGGCGCGACCTCGAGTGCGCCGGGCGCGCAAGGAGATGATGACCTATATGATGTTGGCTGTTGAATTGTACCGAGATTGTTAATCAATGATGTTATATGCTGAACCAAGTTGTATTTGATGAATATGCAGTGATGACTAGGGGATAAAGCTGAGATAAATATGTTAGTTGTATTAGAGATGTATTGTTGAGCTGGAATCAATGGATAAATAAGTGAAATTTTATAGTATAGCGGAATTATAGACTGTTGGGATGAATGGTAGAAAATAATAATTGTATTGAATTGCTGTGATGTGTTACGTTGTGCTGTGCTGTGCTGTGCTGGGTTGTGCTGAGTGGTGTGATATTATAGCCGCTAAGTCGGTGCTGTTGTTAGCCACACAGGTGGTGCTGATTCTAACTGCTAAGGCAGTGCTGTTGTTGCCGCTTTGCGGTGCCGTTATAGCCACTTGAGTGGTGCTGTTGTTGCTGCTTAGCAGTGCTGATATTGCCGCATTGCGGTGCTCGTTGAGTGGTATAAGTTGTACAAGTGTGCTGATAACTGTATCTGTTGTTATTTGTATTGATACATATATATTTGTATGTTGAATTTTAATTACACTAGCTTACCCTTTTGTTGTCTCCATGATGTTGGACTGCAATGATCATACTATGTATGGGAGCAGAGCAGGGATAGGTGGGCATCTGATGATGAGTCTTCGGCGAACCAGTAGAGCTGATCGCTTTTATGATTTTTGCTGTGTAGCTACTTGGGATAGTAGCATTTGATTGTACTTTCTTTTGTACACTCTAACTCTAGTTAGATTGGAACTCTGTATATATTTATATTCTAGAACCTATAATTATATACTCGTTCTATTCTGTCTAGTGTTTCCGGTGTGCGGTGGTTGGAAGTGTAGTGGCCAGCCGGGTCGTTACAAAAGACTCTTAAGTGGTGTCACTTAAAGGACGAAGATAAACCACTTCAAATCTCATCACACTTTTAAAAAAAGGATAAGAGAATTGGAAGTAAATTAAAGAGAGATTTAAGATTTTAAGAGAAAGAAATTTAGGGAGAAATGTTGGCCAAGTCCAATAATACTCAAAACCTAAGTACAAATGGTTACAAACACCTATATATATAGCTTAGGTTGCTTAGAGAAGAAACTAGACATCTAGGAGACAAGTATACACTTAGATCTAGATCCACCAATCACAAACAAGTTCTAGGGGACATGTTGAGTCATGTAAGAGACATCTAGATCTAGAAGAGCCAACGAGCAAGTGCCAAGTGTCCTCTGTAGGTGGTTGGAGAAGTGGTTCCAAGGTGAGAAGTAGCCAAAATGGGCAGCCAAGGTGGCCTTTGGCTTGTCTTGACCGAACTAAAAACTAAGGGAATAGTTTACTTTTGTTAACCAAATGAAGGTTAAACCAAGTCAAATCAATTCCTTGGGCCAAGAGAAGAAAAACAAGACAAATATCACTTTTGAATATTTCCACACCTTTACTACTTCCATATCATCTAAAATGACTATTGACACACTACTAGAATGACTATTTCCACTACAACTACTAAAACTCAAGAAAACTAAAAATTGTGACCATGAATACAAGGTCAAAAGGAATACATTTCATGAGAAACATGCCTCTAAATCCTAAAGTCATGACCTATAAACAAGAAAACATACACTCCTAAATACAAGGGTAAAAACAATCTATACATTTAACTACTACATACAAAGGAATGAAAAATAAACTATACAAAGTATATATGATAGAAGACTAGGAAACAAGGAAGAAAATACATACTTCATGCTTATGATAAGCACAGGTCTAAGAAAAATCCTCTCTAGTAGCTTCTTTTAGCCTTACTATGTAATGCATATCCTAAAAAGATTGTTTCATCAACTTTTGAGTCAATTTACCAAGTTGTTTTTTACAATTATGTAGCAAAACACACTTACATCCAAACACTTTGAAGTAAGATATATTAGGCTTTCTTCCTTTATAGGGTTCATATGGAGTCTTTCTTAAAATAAGTCTTATTAACACTTTATTCAAAACATGACATGCAATGTTTATGGCTTTAACCCAAAAATATTTTGACAATTTATTTTCATTTAATATTGTTTTAGCCAACTCTTCTAATGATCTATTTTTTCTCTCTCAACTACCCTATTTTATTAGGAGGTTCTTAGAGCTAAAAAAAATTGATTAATGAAAAGCTTTTCATAAAAGATTTGAAACAAGTCATTTTGAAATTCTCTTCTATGAGCACTTCTTATGGATGCAACCTTAATGTTTTTCTCATTTTGAACAACTTATAAGTTTCTTAAAATCACTAAATGCATCACTATGAGGCTAAAAGTACAACCCATATAAATCTAGAGTAATTATCAACCATTACTAGACTATAATAGTTAACACTTATGCTCATGATTCTAAAAGGTTCAAATAAATCTATGTGAATTAGTTGTAAAGACTTTTTGTCCTTATAGAACTTTAGTTTAGGAAGTCTTATTACTAATTCCTCTCTTATAAGTTTGTTTAAATGATCCATGTGTATGTGTGTAGCCCTCCTATGCCATAACCATGCATTTTCTTCCTTAGATAGTAAACACTTTGTGTGTGTGTAGATGCAAATTCCAAATCAAACATATAAATGTTTTCTATTTTTCTACCTATGAATTTTATTTAATTTGTATATCACTTATCAAACAACAATCATTGTCAAAAACAATTTTAAAACCTTTATCACACAACTAGCTTATACTTAATGAGTTATGTTTAAGTCCTTCAACAAGCAAAACATTTTCATGACCTGAATCAATTATGCTCATATTTATTGGTTTGGTTTGGATCATCAATTTTATCAAATTGTCCAAATCAATAAAAATTAAGAATGACAATAGGTAGGATTTATGTAGAGTCATATAATATTTGTCTCTGTACCCATATTTAAAAACAATACACATACCTGATCTTATACCCTATAAAGGTAGAAACTTTGATCTCATCCTTGTACCCGCTATCCTTACTTTACTTATATGTGAAGTTAATAATAATAGGGGAAAAAAGCATTCTACCCCTAAACTCTACTTATTTTATAAATAAATATTACAAACTTAATTAAACTACTATGAAAGATGAAATATCAATCACTTATTTATTTGCCTAAACTTATTTATTATTGCGATTCTGTGAAAGACATCCTAAAAGCTAATTAAACGATGCTAGGGAATAGGGTTCATTTTAAAATGAGATGAACCCAAACTAATCCAAACACTTTAATAAAAACTTTTAGATTATTTAGTATTAACCAAATCCAACCTACACTTCAAATATCAAAATTTGTTGTCATATTTTAAGAAAAAAAATTAATTTAAAAAAAGTCAAATACAAACGTAATTATTTGAAAAAATAATATATAAAATTACATACAGTACAATTACTAGAAAGTCACTAAAATATCATTTGAAAAGGATAAGGAATTTTATTTTCTAATTATAACATAATTTTTCGTATCCAATACCCTAACACAACCAACTTATTATCAACCAAATTGATTTGGTTAAAATTTGATATAAAAATTACCCAAAATCAACCAAGCTCACTATTTTAATTGGTTGAATAATGAATCGGATATAACCCACTTCAAAATGATCACGAACGATCATAAAATTAGATGACCGTTCATTTAACACAAAGGACGGTTTTTTTTATTTAAAAAATTAATAAAGGATATTTTAGCAAAAACAAATGAACATAAAGTAACAAAATTTAAACAGAAAATTAAAAAGGAAAATATTATTTTGGTACTAAATGATTTTCGTACTATAGTGCAAATGCTTTCATATTAGTCAAATTTTATTTACATATTTTCTTCAGATTTAACTTAATATTCACATATTGGTCTTAATTTTAAATTCGTGCGTTTCGTGTTATTTGGTTTCGTACCAAATAGCATTGCCCAAAAAAATACTCTTACACAAAAACTCAATTGGCATAATTTTTAATCACATATTTTAATTAAAAACTACTTATATATCTAAAACAAAAGTTTAATCAAACAAAGATTAAACAAACATTACTGACTATCACTGTACTAGTGCACACTAAATCAATTAGTAGAGACAGAATTACTGTGTAACTGTACTAGAACTAGCACTAGTAGCCTCTCCACACACCGCATTATTTGTATTGCGTGAAGTTTTCTTTGCTCTGAAGAGCCCCCACAAGTAGTACATTTTCTGAAATCCTACACAACAAGTAACTCGAATATCTATTACACAATTTCATTTTACAAACAAATTTGTAATGTGCCATTGAAAAAGTAGTGTAAAATATAAATGCTACTTACTTCGGTATTGGATGGGGAGTAATGTAGAAGGAAAAACTAAAAGTTCTGCATTTTCAACCTCAGCTCTTATGGCAAGGTCGGAGGAAATCATGTCATCAACCAGACTGTGAAAGGCCCTCTCAACACTGTGAAAGCATGACATATTTATTAATGAATAAAAGAGAGAAGAATAAGATCATGCTAGTTTGTCTGAAAAATGACCTTTCATTATGGGGAAAGAAATAAAGAGCAATGCTCTCCTCATTTGGTCCATGTTCCATGAAAGACTTGGGCCACACTGCAGATCTTTGAAGCAAGTCCGGGCAAAACACGTCAGGGAAAAGTTTTGTCTCCTCCAGAACTTTGGAGCATGCTGTAGTGGACACATGGCACAGAAGCCCAATTACAGTTTCAAAACTTGGGTACAAGAGGCACAAACTTCCCCTGTTGGCCAGAAAATTCAACTTCAATAATGTTTCATCATAGCAGCTAGGAAATTCATCAAATTCTAATAAAGATAGAAAAACAAATTTCTTACCTCCAGACTGGATCAGCAACAGGCTGAACAGTAACAATCATAGACCCCTCCCTAGTATTAGCTTGATCTCTGGGAACTGGTTGGCACTCTTTCTCAAACTTTTTTTCCATTTCACTGTTGTTACGGCATTGAGATAATCCATGAGGAGACAAACTGTTATTCTCAGATAATAGCACCTTTGTTTCAGCTGCAATATTCTGTGGCTTTTGCTTGTTGTTCTCTACTCTCTCTATGCAACTTTGTGGCTCTATTCTAGCTTGAGATGCCTCTTTTGCCGAATTTAGAGAGATATTTTTTTCAGATGAGAGAAGAGTACATTGATCATGAAAAGATGTGTCAACTATCATTGGCTCACAATCCTCACAAAACCAAGTAACATCATCTGTAAAAATCACAGGCCCATCTAAACAATACCTGAAAAGGAAGAGTAGGTCAAGGAATTTAAGAATGTGAAACTATAACTTCATAGTTCATACAACACAAAAGCATCTGGTTTAAATAATGCTGGACAAAAATTAAACAGCAAACCTAAAATCGCTATCCTTTAGACGCTGAAAAGGATGTTTATTGTATTAATACAACTGTAATGTGTATCAAATCACTAGAAAAATATTTGTGGTATTTACAGGGTGGTTTTCTTTTATTTACAGAATTGTATTAAATAAATTTTTATAATAAAAACTATAATCAACAAATCTATATCATATTTGCGATACATATTACCTTTATTTTTAGAATTCATATATATATTTCCCCCACATTCCATACTAATAGTATTTCAAAATAATGTCCATATAGCAATAAAAATATATGCATCTGCAGCTATGTATGACAATGAAAACCTGTTAAAATCATAATCCCCAAGCAATTTTATAAGTTTAAAATCATACCTTCCTTATATATGTTTAAAAAAATAAATAAAAACCATATAGGAATCCATGTGCATATGAAACATGTTCAGGGTACATATACCTAGTATAATGATGAAAGATTGCTACTAGTACATCCAAGCAAATAGACAAAAAGAGTAAATAAAAGTACCTGTGAAGTGCATAAACCTGACACTTGTTGCAAAAGACACGTGTTTCTGGAAAGCCTACATCACCACACTTGAGACAAACAGCTACCTGCTACATGCAGAGTTTTACTTCAGTGGTTCATAAAAGAAGATGTACAACTAAAAAATACACATATTCTTCCACACAAATACTGTAACAGACGTATACTGGTAAAAACTAGTAGGTTTTTGATTCGACTTTTTTTTTCAAAATGTTGATGTGTGTCATTAAACTAGTAATTGCATCAATGTTCTTGCTAGAGATCATTAAAAATAAAAAAGAAGATAGTTTTTATTATATTTATAAATTTTATTAAGCTGAGACACTGTTCAAAAAAGAAAAATAAAATAAAATATTATTCAGTCAACAATTGTTGGCAAGTAGAATTGTATATTTGTTCAATTAACAAACCTAAATTAATAAAAATGGATAAGTTAGGTAGGAATCATTCCTGTCACAATAACAGTAATACTGATAATTTAGTTCACAAACAAAACAATAAATTTATAAACAAATTTGTATACAAAATCTCTTGAGAAGCAACCAATATATTATTTGTCAATTTCACAGCAAATTAGCAAATGAGAAACACCTGAGACAGTTTTGTTATTCCAGACTGATTGGTGAGAATAGTCATCTCTTGTTCAACTTTAGAACATCCATCTTCAGTTTGAGTATTAGTACTGGAACCTGAAGGGGAATTGAACTCCACTATAACAGATGGCAACAGTTGATTGTTTTTTTCATCAGTACAATTTTGACTCTCGCAATCTGCTGTGTCTTTAGATAATTTGAGTTCTGTTTCAATATGTAAAACATGTTGAATTTGAGATTCAAAATTTGATCCCACTGCTGGTGATACTTCCACATGAGATTCCATAAGGCCTTGTGCTGGTCCTATTGCTATTGCTTTAGCATCAGAATTTGCATTAGTTCGGGTGTTAATATCTGAGCCTACTAGGACATGCAACTTCAATGAAATTGATTCTGCCTGATCATTTTTTTCCATAGCGAGATTCTGAATCTCATGATGTCCTTTGCTTTCTAATACCTGTGTTTTAAAAGGGGCATGTGGCTGATCAGTTATTTCTGTGGTAATATTTTGAATCTCATGTTGTTCTTTGCCTTCTGATAAATGTGTCTGTGAAGCTGAAACATGTTGAAACTGCGGCTCAAAACATGATCTAACAATAAGTGTTGGTGCCAATATCTGCGAAGTGGCAGGACCTGGCAGTGATGCCAATGTAGGTATTGAGTTTTGTACAGGAGATTCTACAGATTCTGATAGAGAATTGATATTTTGTTTTGATGATCCCATGGGTCTCCTTACCCCATCATTTGTCTTCATGTATTTACCTTTGTTTCCACCAATCTTATGCTTGAAATTATGATCATGTACACTACTGTTATTCCTGGTTGCAATAGTAGTTTCAAAACTCATGTAATTTAGTGAGCATTCTTTTTTCCCAGATTGAACTACTACATTCTTTTGAGTTTTTGGAATCTGTCCTTTTGAAATGTTCGACATCTGTAATTTCTCATGCCACTTCAACATTCTTTGATGTCTCTTTCCATTGTTATGCATTTTCATTGAATTAACAATGTAAACCGCACAAATCTTACAGTAGGTCACTTCTGGTGATCTTGTTGCTGTTGCTGCAGAATCAGACCTCACATCTTTGGGTGGATTAATAATATTAGAATCTGCAAGACCATGTGGCTGACCATTTGTTTTTATAAGCCTTGGCCGCGGTGGTAATGCAGATACCTGTAATGGAGTTTCTACATTGACATCGAATTTTGATGATTCCACAGGCCTTCTTAATCCATCATTTGTCTTAATGTATTTACGTGTTTTGGCCCCACCAATCTTATGCTTGAAACTATGACCCTGTGTGCCAGTGTTATCCCTGGGATTCTCTTTGCATCCTTCAACTGTAACTTCAGAAGTAACTCCTACATCTTTCTGCAGGTGATTTTTGTGCTTGACAATAGTGGCTTCAGAACTCACATAAGGTTGATCTACCAAATTCATTTGAGAATTTGGAATCAGTCCATTTGAAATTCTTTGTCCCTGTAATTCCTCACGTAGATTCAAGTTACTTTGATGTCTCTTTCCATTATTATGTTGTTCCACCACTTTGTAACTGCTCAACTTAACATCACAAATTTTACAATATGCCATTGGTTGTGGCTGGTGCAATGGTGCTGCAGCATGAATAGTTGGTCCAGAGGTTTGATGAGGTACATATGTACCACCACCATAGCAGTAATCCCAACCACGATGAGGAACTTGATGATGGTAGTTAAACTGGCTCTGACTGCACCCTCCAAATGATATATTGTTCCAATCACTTCTATTTTGATACCCCCCAGACTGCAAAAAAGAAAATTCAAATATGAAGCAGTGCATAAATGATATGGCTACAGCATTCAACTATGAGTTTGAGAATAAAGGAAGGGTTAGAGAAGAGATACAAAACCATTCTTAGGCCTCCATTGGTTTAGAAATCAACAAACTAGTCTCAATAGTTGCACTACCACCTGAAGGTGCTTGCAATCAGGGTCAACCCATTGGTATTTGAGTAATTCAACGACTCAAAGCCAGACTAAACAGCCAAACCATATTGAACTCTCAACCTAGTCCCGGTTTAGGAAAGCATTCAGGTTTAATAAAAAAACATTGAAATATTATCACTATCGACATAATTAGAATCCCAGTCCCAACATAAATACTGACATTTCCAAATTTATTAACCTGCATGTTCATTTATGTATGGAGATAAGTGTGAAAATGGCCATCTTTCATATAGAATATCAAGCGTTCCATTCATTTTCATAAATTTGTGGCTCCATAAATTCATAATATGAAACATGTAGCATAGAAAAAACCACTATTTCTCAGAGTAAGTTTCACATGCAATTCCACTTCACTATTACCATCAATACAGAAAACATTTTATCATCCCACATTATACATGTCTCTAGCCTCTCTTTCATACATTATGGACTGTGATAATTGATTCTTAAACTCAGCCCTATAGTCCATATGATTATACTCATCCCAAGTCACACCAAATATATCTTCTAACTGGACATCATACTCTCCAACTGTCCAATCAAAATACTCCTCCCTGATTAATCTGCCATGCATCTAACTAAAACCCTACACACGCCATTCGGATCATAGAGAGACAAATTCAAAAATGTTGTAAATAGAACAGTTGTTACCAGCCTAAAACTCTTAAAAAGTTCAATATACACACCCACGTACCATAATCCTCTCCATTTTAACAAAGAAAAGGTTGTGAAGGTTCACTTTTACAATGACAAGAACAATCACCACATGTGCAGACCTCCTTAGCCAATTCTTATTTTTTTTTTTTAAAATAATTCAAGTATCCAATCACCAATGTTTATTTCATATTCTCCAAAAACATGTGCAACACTGCCACTGTTGCGCCTACCCAGATCAATTTTGTCAATATCTATTGACACTCACAAATTACACATAACAGATTACAGAGTACAATGCTACTTCTACACACACATCAAATCAATTTCCATACTTCCCGAATAACAACAGAATTAAAAATTTAAAATAAATAAATTAATATCACAAAAAGCCCAAAAAAATACTATCACATTCCTTACTACTTGAGAATTTGGGCAATATTTAATGACGATTCATACCCTTACTGCAAACAAAAAGATACCCACGAGAACTCATTTTTCTTATATTCACTTCATTTTTTTATAAAAGAAATTATCACATCATTTTATCAGCACTATCCCTTTCAATATTTTCATTCAATCCCTCTCTCCTATCCAATCATTCACCCTAAAAATTCGAATGATTCTAAGCAAATAAAAAGGGAAAAAGATCGAAAGATTTCTCGCATTACAGAGCAAACACCCAAAAAATAATTTCGCAAACACCCACAAATTATTTGGGCGTGAAATTCCAATTTACACATTCACAAAAGACAAAACCGCGACGTCCATAGAATAAAGCAGCGTCAAAAAAAAAAAAGGAGAAAAAAAAAAACTTAATAAAAAATTAAAAAAAAAATACAAAAAGAAAAAGAAACTAACCATGGTATCAGTTTGACGAGTGCAACGTTAAGGACGCTGAAAATTTTGGAGAAAGAACGGAATAAGAGACAGTAACAGTGATTATCAAATTAGTGCTGAATTGGCTTTGAAGGCGAAAAAATTCTAGAGAATAAACTGAGTGTTTACTGAGGAGTGGTTTACTTTACGGCAAAGAGAAGAGGATAGCATAAAACAAAGAAATTTATAGGATTAACGGAAAAGGAAAAGGAAAAACAAAAATAAAAATCTTATATGTGTTTCTTATTTAAATTTTTACAATTTAAAATTACCATATTTTGTTGATATATTTTTCTTATATTATAAATAAGTAAAAATAAATATGAAAAACAAAAAAGCTTATTTCCGGATACCAAAGATATTTCGTTGCCATTTTAGAGATTATAAAGATAAATTATAAGCATGTTTTTATTAGTTTATCAGAAATGCAATTATATGTTCGGGAAAAGGAATTTCAAGTGTGTGGTTTAGCAGTAGGAGTTGATCTACGCCTTAAGCAAAGTCAGGGGTTCGAATCGTACCTTGTGTATATAGTCGTGTTAAATCTTGGGATCAGTTATTCTACCTTTTGTATCTATCGGTCTTGAATACTCCAGGAACCAACAAAAAAAATATTCTAAAAAAAGTTTTATAAGTATTTTAATTAATTATTTTTAAATAGTTTTCAACTTCTTGTTATATTATCATCTCTTCTTCGCTATGATTTATTTCATATTTGAACAAATTATATTTCTCAAATTTTATTGTCGTTCTATAATATTAAATTATTTATAAAGTATTTGACATAGTTTTTGTTATATCCTTAACTAAATATTGAAAAAATAGGGAAAATATATATATATATATAAAAGAGAATATGATTAATATAAAAGGTAAAAGTTATATTTTGTATTATCTTTTTATGAATGTAAAACGTGAATTATAGTTATCATTTTACATTAATATATATATATATATGTATAGATAGTTATAAATGAAAATAACTATATCGAATGGAGATTTTAAGAACTTTATTTATTTAATTATTTAATAAGAATATTTTTAGTACTTCTTTTTTAATGAAAAAGTTTCCAAAGATATTTTTAATCTTTTATCTATATAATTTGTGTATTATTTTTAAATTGTATTTCAATGTTTAGAAAATAAAAATTATTAATAATTAAAAATAATTATATGTCATAGTATAAATTATTATCATAAATTTAAAATATAATTTACATGTTAAAAAATATTTATTTATATAAATTTTAAATATGATATATATAATTTATTATAAATATTTTGTTAGTATTTATAAAAGAAATTAAACATAAAAAATAAATTGAGTAAAATACAAAAAAAAAATGTACTAGTGAGAAGAATGTATATAGTTATATGAGGGAGTAGAAATGGGGATAGGTGAAACATTAAATAATAGACATATAATCTGACCTCTTTAAAATTTAATCTGATCTAACTTATTTAATAAAAATGTCAAATTTAAACTTAAAAAAAATTATTTATACAAAAAAGTTAGGATTAATAGGTCACTTTATTTATTTATATAATATAACAAAAAAATTAATTAATATATATTATTAAAATATAAATAAACAAATAAATTCACAAAATAAAAATAAATTATTAATATTTAAAATATTTTTTATACATTTCTTTCATTATAGATTTATAATTGTGTATGAATGTATATCAATATACATGATTACATATGAATTGTCCCTTCAATAAAAAAAAATAATTCAAATTTTCTTCTATATTTTTTAAAATTAAATTTTAATAATATTGAGTAAATTATATTTTAAATATAATTTATTAATTTTTAAAAATTAAATTTATTGATCTAATTCACATTAATAACTTAAATAGACATTTTAAATAAGTTAATAGATTAAATATGACTTTAAAAAGATTAGATCATGCCTATAAAAAGTCTATGATAGATTATAAATCAAATTTAAACTTTAATTTTATAAAATAGATACAACCTATATACTTTAAATTTAGCAAAATTTGACCTATTTCTATCTCTACCAGAGAGTGAGAAATGTAAATTTAAACAGTACAATCTTATATAAATAATTATTAATAAAAGTTACTTAATTTTAATATAACAAGAGATATGCATGGATTTGATGTTTGTGGATGCATGGAGAGAAGAATTTTATGAATTTTTTACGATTACTTTAGGAAATTATGTATTGATAGATGTGACAACCTTGTATATGAAATATTTAGAGGTTGCTCGGATTCCAATTCGCACGTACAACTTCTTGGGATATCTATAATCAGATATATTCTCTTATTAGAATATATAATTTAATTAATCGATTAAATTGAATTATAATATATGATTTTTTTATATTGTTGTATAATTATTATAATTAAATATATTTGTGTATTTTGTGAATTAAAAAAATTATTAAATATTTAGGTAAAAAAATATATAGTGTAGTCATGTGACATTTATCTATGAAATAAGAAAAATACATTTGGTAGATTGTTGCATGTGATATTTTTGTTTATTAGAACAATCTCAAGCTTTAATTGAAAAAAAAATATATAGAGAGAATTTAAATAATAATAATAATAAAAAGTTGTGAGATTTTAATGGAAGAAATTTTTATCAATAAAAATAAAGTTAAAAATTCACATTAAAAAAATCCATTCCAGATTTGTGTAAATGGACAATATATAGATATTATTAAGAAATATATATTCTTTGATTCTTTTAGAAAGATGTAAGAAACAATTAAGTTGGTACGGGTAGAATTGAATTAATCCTTCTTAAATAAAATATTAAATTTAAATGTTGTAATGACCTTTTATAGTCACTATACCCGGTGAAATCACTAATACTAGTAACTGAAGTTAAGTTACTAAAATGTACAAGATTAATAAAAGAAATTATACTATACATATAAGTATCATGAGTATATAAGAAGAAATCAAACAAATATAAACATGATATATATATATAGTCATCCCAAAATAATCCTACATCTTAGTGCTGGTCAAGCACACCTATACATGGTACATCAGTAGTATTGCCATCAAAAAAATCACAATCTCTATTCGCATCAGCTCTTCAAGCCTAGCCCTGATCTGTTCTCATACAACGTATGATCATCGCAGTCCAACCACCATGGAAACAAAAAGGATAAGCTAGAGTTTAAAAATATATCTACATGTAGAAATAAGTCTATCATATACAACAACACACAGATATCTTGTATGAGACTAATCACATCACAACCAAACATGTATCTCACCCAATCATGTCCCAAAAGACATCAAATGCACATGAACACATCTCAACATACATCATATGCAAATATATTGACTAATGCGTCGTCACGCATTCACCTACGGAGATTTCCTAACAACATGAGTAGTCTAAGTGATTTCCACCCTACCGAACCAACCTAATCGTTTTCACGCCCAAAGCGTCGGCTCGATCACAACAAAATGGGATACCAATCCCTCCTCTGATTTCTCGAGTCTCATCACTTACACTAGGAAAGTTCGGTTCCACCGTTAGGTATACCATAGCTGGGTACAGGCTTACCACGACCTTGACATGCATTACCAAGTCACTTATGGAGTTCGTCCACCGAAGGAACCACGCAACCTTTCCAAGTACTTGGTTAAGGGTTGTAGCCCTCAACCTCCTACCTTACTCAACCACTAACTAAGGATTTGGAGGAGACTCAACACACCTCAAAACCTACTCCAAGAGACACACCTACTCAAGGAGGATTTTCCAAATAGTGGCCTACCTGAGCACCACTCCAAGATACCCTATGCGGGATCTTTAATTTTCAAAATAGTTTTCTCTCCTCAAATCCTACGTTAGCTATCATGCTATAATGGCACAATGCATTCTTAGCATCCATACCTTATCAAACATCTACTATATACATTACATCCAGTCAATGCATATAAAGATCAACAACATCAATCATGTACAACATACCAATGCTTAACATCTCAACTAATAACAACATACCAATGCTTAACATCTCAACCAATAACAACATACCAATGCTTAACATCTCAACCAATAACAACATACCAATGCTTAACAATTTATACAATGATAGCATATCAATGCTTAACATATCAACCAAGAACAGCATGCCAATGCTTTCACCATTTGAAATACACTAGGACAGCATTCCAATGCTTATTATCATTTCAAGTACACAAAGATAACATATCAATGTTCATTCTCATCATCCTATAATGCACAACATGCAATAAACACAAGCATTCTATTCACGTTCACCAATTTCACCAATCATACAACATGTACCACATGCAATTTATCAAAATCACATATTTCTACACTAACAACCTTCACCTAAAACAACCCATAGGGAGTTCTACTGCTCCAATCATTCTCATCCTTATCTCATATGAAAGATAAGAAGATTTTATACAACTCTCATGAAGATACCAAGTCCTAATTCCACCATATACCTTGTCAAAAATTGTAAGAACCGCAACCATTTTACTAAATATTGACCACCTGACCTTTTTCTCACTAAAAAGGTCATAACTAGAGTTATAGACCTCCTTTTTGGGTGATTCCAGCGCCATTGGAAAGATAATATCCAAGGCTACAACTTTCATGAAGACCTAGAGACCAAATTCGGTCATCTAAACTCACCGCTGCAGCGCTCAAATCAGCACTTTTGCTTTCGATTTCTGTCAGCTCAGTTCCTTTCCACGGTCATGGCTGCAAATCCACAACCATGGCTACAAGTTTTTGCCACTCCAATTTTTTTTTTCCACAGCTATGGCTGCAAATCCACAGCCATGGCTGCAAGTCTCTGCCATCATGTTTTTCCCTCCCACGGCTATGACTGTTGTAACGACCTTAGTGGAATCGCACCACTACTAGTGAACTAAGAGAAACATTAAGTTGGATAACTCATACATACAGGTATAGATAAGAATAAAAATAACTAAATTTCTTAAATACAAAATAGAATGCCATATATGTACAGTCATCCCAAAAATAATATTCCCTAGTGCCGGTCAAGCACAGACAAAACGTTACCCAAAATGGTAACCCTAACACGAGGATCAAACTCCCCGTCTCGCAGCGGTCACCTCAACTCCAAGCTAGCCCTGACCTGCTCCCATACCAAGTATGATCATCGCAGTTCCACC